GTTGAGGGTTTAGGTTTGGGGTTCAGGGTTTAGGGTGTTGGGTTTAAGAAAAGCCAGTTCGGTGCCTTTCGGCATCGCTGCTCTGAAAGTACTTAGTGCCAACACCCTCTCAAGACATTTGTGTCTGCTGATCTTGGTAGAGAGTTGAGGAGGCGGGAATCGCTGATTCCGAGGGGCTCCCCGCACTGCCGAGGCTATCTCTCTCTGTTGGTCTTGAGGCTTCAGAGCAAGAGCAAACTATGGCAGCACGGAGAACAGATATGATGTAGACTCCTGACCAACCAGCACTAGTGTCTAAAGGGGGATCCGTATAACCCTTACAGCGGAATTGGGTTCGATGCTGCTTGCTACCCGCTACCCGAACCTCGAGCCCCCTTAAACCCCGAAACTTCTCAACTCGTCCTTGTGCTCCAAGTGGGGGAAGCGCACTGTTGCCAGAAGTCGCTGCACCTGCCCACAGGAAAGACTCCATGGTTACTAGCAGGAAAGGGGGGAGGGGTTAAAGGGACACCTATAACTGTCCTTAAGGGACCGTCAGTTGAATCATAGGCATCCATTCCGCCCCTCCCAATGAAGAACCAGGGAGAAGAAGAGACTGGACTTAGGGTTCAGGGTTTAGGGCACCGGTCTGTTGGACTTTAGGCTTTCGCCGCGTGTAGGGCCGTAAGGAGAACGTTACCTATGTGCTTGTGCCTTTGCCACTCTTCTTCAGCATCCACTTCGGCAATGCTTCATACGTATGCGACATAAAACACACATATACATATCTGTGTATGTGTATACATATAAAATATATATATATATATGCTATATATATATACCTGTGTATGTATGTCATTGTATGTCAATGTATGTCAATGTATGTATGTATGCATGTATGTATGTATGTATGTATGTATGTAAGACTGTGGCTGTGCTTGTTACGGGTGTGTAAATAAATATATATATATATGCAGTAAGCTGTACATACATATATATGTACATGTATATATATATATATACACACACACGCTTCACCTTCATAAGCTGGCAAGACATAGAGATATCCATGTACGTGTATGTTGCTTGTTGACGGGGGATGTGAATAAGTCTTATAAGCAGGAGACAGAAAAGCACGAGCTTGTTGCCGCAAATCGGCAAACACTGCCGAGTATGGGGTTAAGTCTATCAGACGGATAGAAACTGCGGCAAGCCCATCCCCACAAATAGTCTAGGGGCCTTAGTATTAAGAATAATATTGGACTAGATCACACTATTCCTATATTAGGGTTATAAAGGGCTATGGTTACTTCTTCTCCAGGCCCGGATATTAATAGCAGTATTAGTATCAGTATTAATGTTGGTATTCGTGTTCGTATTGGTATTTATTAGTATTAGTGGCAGCATTCGCATTAATAACTACTAGTATTAGTATAATAGCAATAGTCTTAACAATTAGTATAACCCGAACGCAGCCTCATCGCTGGTAAGCAGCGCGTCGGGGGGCGTAGGGGCTTTGGCAATCTCCTTTTTCTCACCACCTGATTCGAGGAAACCCCAAATTAAACCGTACGCAAGGATGGTCCAGGTGGAATGCGCCGATACTCCAATATACCCTGTTTATAGTGGGATGAAGGGCTCCTGAGAGCCCTATCAAAACCGCAGAAGCAAGTTAATCTTAAGGGCTAAAGGTTTAATTTCAGGGTTTTTGGGTTCAGGGTTCAGGGCATAGATTTAAAACCCTGTCATCTGTGACCGTTTTTGCAAGCCCGGGTTACGTTTGGGGTTCCGTTAAGGTCCCGGTCTGGGCTTCCGTTTAAAGCCCCCAAACCCTAAACCCCGAAACCCTTAAACTCTAAACAACAAACCCACCACCCCAAACCACGAAACCCCCAAGGTGGGGTCGTCGGGGCCAGAGTTTTTTGCCCTGAAAGGGTTTAGGGTTTAACTAATATAAGGGCCCTATAGTAAGGCCCTATAGTAAGTAGAATAGTGTTCCCAGGGTTCCTCTGTGCGGCTACTATTAGGGTTTCGGTTTAGCATATGGGTCTTAATACTTAGAACAAGGTTTTGGAGGCAAAGCAGAAGCTTAAACATTCGCAAACTCCTGAACAATCCGAAGTGCCCGAAACACCAGAAACATCGTACATACCGCATCGAAAAGCTGAAAAGTGCACGAAGAGACAGGGGCGCCAATGCGTCACCGGCCAACTACTACTCCAAACCCAACACGCTAATGATTAGGCTTAAGTCCTTTGGAGCCTTAGGTTAACCTGACAGTGTTGCCATTCACCGAGCCTCCGATGCGATCTTATTTCTTTCTAACATAGGGGCCTGAATAATTGGAACAAGGTTTTCGGGTATATTATACTACAACTATAATAACGAACCCCAAAACTAGCACTGGTAATAATATAGGCTCCTACATTGCATGAGGCGTCCCATTCCTGGAAGGCTTGAACTTCTGCTGCCCTAAGCCCTACACCCTAAACTGCATTCAGTTATGCCATATTCCGTTGTGCTATGTTGAAGTCACACTGAGCTATACGATATGATGCTGTAGTGTTCAACCACGGCATATGGTGCCACACTCCAAAACCAGATCCGCCCCAAGGCACCCCGTCCTGCGGCGGAATATAGGAGCTTGCACAAATATCAATGCTATTGCTATGGGTTCCCTAACATGATTATACTGTAAGATACCTCCACAAGCCCATTCTAACTACTAGGCCCCTCCAGCTGGTTGAAACCACACAGCTGTATCGGAAACTGGTCCTTGAACCCAGCAACTCCCAATTCCTACACTACACAAAACCGTAGAGTCCGCAGACCCTCATTAAACTGTACCAAAATACACCAAAGCATCAACCCCCAAACTTACAGATGCTAAACTGCAGGTTCACAACAAGAAATATTCAATAACAGCCACAGCTCAGATTACCCAATGCGGGATATTGCGCACCCTAAACCCGAAACCCTAAAATATACAATGCACGAGCAGGACCAGCCACCTTCATCCTCTTCTTTGCCTTCCTCCTTGGCCTCTTCTCCTTCTGTGGACGGGGCCTCCATGTCTTTAGGTCTCATTCACAATTTAGGGCCAGCGGCGAGCCTTATTTACACTTGAAGGGCTCTGCTCCGTCTGCCGGCTCAGTGTAATTTGTAGGGTGGGCTTGTACGGAGAGAGTATTCGAGCTGTAGGGTAAAGCGTCTACAACCGAGTTTCGGTTCCCGGAATCTCCCGGAAACGCAGCGGTTTCAGCTTTGCTCTTAGCGTTGCAGATGTTGCAGGATATGGTGGGGCTTGGTTCTGCAAACTTGGGGTTTTAAAGTTTGGCGGGCTTCAGCAGTGCAGGGTTCGAAGAGGTTCGCTACGTATTTTTGGGTTGTAGTCTGAGGGCTTTGTGCCTTGAGCCCAACAGGGAACCCGTATGAGCTTGTAGAGCCACATTTGAAAAAGGACAGTCATCTAACACTTCCTATAAGGGCGTTGCTTAATGTAATAATTATCCATACTATTTTGGTGGTTCCTTAGTCGCATTATAGCATGATACACCCCGAAGTCTTTTTCTAACTACTGAGGCCCCTATACATTACCAGTGCGACGTTAAATAATTGAATGATGTCTTTGCAGGAGGATCGGAATCCTGAAACTTGAAGCATTAAGTCACGGTTTAGGATATGTGGGGTTTAGAGGTTTAGGTTTTCGGGTTTAGGGATCCCTCCTAGCAGCGCCATAAGGACACCCAGAGACCCTCCAGTACATTACGACCCGCTGGTGAATTTATTGGCACGGTGTGGGGAGGGGGGGGGTGTCAATCACCGATAGCATGGCTTCCTCTGTGACGTGTATGCGGACATGAGCTTATGCCAAACAGCACTGTAGAAAAGCCCTTTCCTTTCAGCCGGTGCAAAAAAGCTTCACAGGAGTGCCTTGCACTCGTTGATCGCCCTATAAAGAAGTTTACAAAAGGGCATCCGCTCATCAGCACTGTCGGAGCGACGCCTCTCAGGCGGCTCAAGCCTGGAGGGAAAACTCCCTTGAAGAAATGCTCTGTGTCTTTCCATTCAGCAAACTCTCCCACAGAGCGGCACCGGTCCTTGCCGGTCACGGTGAAGTACATCCTCTCCATGAGCTGCATGTGCTTCACAAGCTTGCCCTCCTCAGAAGCTGCAGCCATCGTGCCGGCTTGGATTGACAACATGCAGCAACAGCTGCTGGTTAAAGTTGGACCAACGTGCTGCCTGAACCTGATCAGGTCGTGAATTGTTTGAACGATGATGCACGACGGAAACATCTCACACACACACGGTCACATACGTGCACCCGCATGTCTCAGCTTTCAGTCGGCCTGGATCGGCGCGATTGTGCGCGCCCATGACGTTTCGTCCTGCCGTCAGAAGCCCCTCCGTCTGGCAAAAAACAATGAGTTCTCCACCAGCTCCTCGCGACAGGAGCCGTGGTCCATGCTTTGCAAGCGAGCCTCGCAAATTGAGTATGTACCCCAGTGTGTCCACTATACACAGGCTTCTCAAGCCTGCATTCTGATCCACTAGAAGCACCTGGGAGCTGGACGAGAAGTGCCAAAAAGGCACGCCAAGTGGACAACACCCGCCAGCAAGCCATGGCTGTGCTGGAAAAACCCAAAATGTTCAGCTGCACATAGAAACACGTGATCAAGCAACGCTTGGGACATTCACAAAAAAGCCGCACTGCCGGTCCTGCTTGCGCGAATCGCATATAGGCGAAGCTCCCGACCTGCATCGCTTCAGACCAAACAAATGGAGCATGTGCTGTTGCCCTGTTCAGCTGAATGGTACAGGTTGAGGAGTTCATCTCGAGGGACGATGCAGGTGGCACACCTCCAGCCTGGTCGTGTAGCGGGAGGTCCGTTATCCCCCCCACTTGAAGAAGAAGCTGAACTGCAGTCGGGACACATCTCAGCCGCCAACTGTCGCCGATCGTTTGGTGTGAAGATGACGCAACTGGCATTCGTCGTCTCTGGGAAACAAACCTCATGCCAATTTCAGTCGCTCCGACCGGTTAATGTGAAACTTACCAATTCAGCATAATTCCGCCAAACCTTTTCGCAGTAGCCAGTCTGCTGGCCGTGCCGCATCACCGGATTCACAGCACCGTCACCAGGCAGCTGCAGCTTCTGCTTCTTTCTCGGCGGCATTTTTCAGACGCCGGCCGCCAGGGTTTTCCGAAAGCCTACGCGATATGGCGTGTGTGATCTACCTGTCTAAACTGTCTAAATATAGTGTATGTATAAGAATGAAAGGAGAGCAAGCGCAAAACTGCATGTAAAACACTGTCAGCCTGCGTCTGTTGTCTGTGCCGGTTTAGCGTGCCGGCTGTAAAGAAAATGTAGGCGCAACATCATCAAGCGGTGCATCTACTCCGGGTGCTTCGCTAGCCCTCGACGTTTGAGCAGCAGAGGCACCATCGCAAAATGTCAATCGGTGAATCATGGTGCAGATAGCTGGTTGATTCTTCAATACATTCCGATCCTGTGACCTTCTGGGAGACCCTGCCGGAACGTATTGGCACGGTCCCGTGCAACGACCTTTCAATACATTAGGTCAGGTGGAAGGATGTTTAAGGTTTAGGGTTTTAGGGTTTTTAGGTTTAGAGATATCCTGGTTTCTCGTCTCAGCAGCTGGATGTGCTGGCTGTGAACACCGCGGCGGAGGTCTCCTCGGACACGCGGCCGTCCGCTTCGCTGTCCGCTGTGTTGGACGTCAACTCCTTATTTCCAGCTGTGATGTCGTGACGGAATCCTCATGCGCGGAGGGCTTGCACTTCCCGGCTTGGTGTTAAACGGAACATGCGCTAAGCCACAACAGTCAGGACCTAAGACACTGCCTTTTTGAATCCCTACACCTAAACTCTATTCTTATACGCTAAAGCGCAAGCTCGACAGCTTTTGATAGCATGGTCTTGCGGCCCAACCTCAACATACAAGTTCCAAGGCAGTAGGGTAAAGCTTGTCTAGAGGTCCAAATACCTGAATAGTCGGCTTGCAGGTGCCAGTCACGAAACTTTGAAGCGGTTTTGGTCCCGTAAAAAAGCGCTGTCTAAATATTTAAACCCAGTTAGCTTCTGCAAAGCTTATCACAATATATCACAATCACACACGGCCGCCTCCTCTGCTGGAGCCTCACTCACCGTCCACCTCAGGGTTGGGGGTGGGCAGCAGGGAAACCCACGCGTTGAGTACCTCAAATAGCGTTCAGTGTGTAGGGCTTATAGGGCTTTAGGGTGAAGCACAGGACACCGAAACCCACGCCCAAACCTCTAGGCACCGAAAACTGAATCCTACAACCCTAAACCCTAAACCCTGCATACACCCAAACCCTCAACCCTAAACCCAAACCCGCAACCCTAGGGCCGCGGGTTAGCTTAGGATTTCACTGTAGGGATCCGACAGTCCTAAGGCAAGAGCGCAATACGGTTTGGGGTGTAGCTGTAACGTGTAGGGTTTAGGATTTAGGGTTTAAGTTTGAGAATAATGTAGACTCCTGGCTCGTGTTGTTCTTGTTTCGCATGTTTTGCTTATTCAAGGTTTGCTACTCACGTTTGCTTTCTTACAAGGATGTTGGAGGGCTGTATAACGTCTCGTAGTCCTTTTCTTTGGGGGCATGCAGGTTCAGACCCCTGTGACACTCGGTTTCATCAATCACGGCCCTAAACCCTAAACCCGAAACCCTAAACCCTAAACCCAGAACCCTCACTCAGAGCCCCTGAACCCCAAACCATAAACTCCAATCGCCAAAACATCCTAAACCCTAAACCCTAAACTCTAAACCCTAAACCCTAAACCCTAAACCCAAAGTCCAAAACCCGCAACCCCAGAACCGCTAGACCCACAGCCCCATGTGGCAGAGTGCATCCTGCAACAATTGAAACCGCTGAGAGTTTCGCTTATGGCAAGGTTTAGTCTTCGGGGAGCGGTAGCTGAGTGTATGTATGTTTGCGTATGTGCATGTCTGAGTTATATATATATATGTATGCACATACACACACATATATATATATATACAGATATGTGTGTGTGAGTATTTGCATTCATGTAGACAAGTATAGATGGTTTTATGTTTACATGTGCAGAAGTTTACATGTTTATATGCATAGATGTACATCTGAATAGTGATGTTCTCATCTACGAGTATCTAAAGCAGATATGTATGCATCTGCATATGCACATATATATATATAT